CTTATAAAAAAAATTCAATATATGGATTAACACCCACTTATGAAAGACAAAATAAAAATTTAAGGTTTTTTTTTTAAAAATAAAATTTTAACTAGATAGGGTCTTTTACTAATTTATAATATTCATGAGCTTTTATTTTATAGGATAAATTACAAATATACCCCCTAAGGTTTGCTTAAAATACAGATTGCCCCCTGTGGTTCGAAAAATTACAAATATCCCCTCTTTACAATTTTTTATTTAACAAAATTAACTACAAAAATGAAATTCATAATTTTTATCCTATACAATAATAAAATTATCTAAATTATTAATTGAAACATATTTTTAACATCATTAAAAATTGTTAATTCACTTGATGATTTATTAATAAAAATGGTGATTTGTTATGAAATTAAAAACCTCAGGGGGTGGAATGTAATTTTGAAAACCACAGGAGGCGATTCATATTTTAATCAAATCTCAGGGGTATATTTGTAATTTACCCTTTACTTTTCTAATCTTTTTAGTGACTAAATAAGTTTGAATTAAATATTTTAGGAACTTAATGAATTCAATTGATAATTTAGGAAAATAGACTTTGATTTATGTACTTTAAGAACTAAATAGATTCAATCAAGAGTTCAGAAACTAAATAGACAATTTGACGATAGTTTAAATGTAGAAAGTGTAATAAATCCTAGTGAATATAAACTAATTGTCATATAAGTTTATATGTATTACAAAAAAATCAAGCTATTTATGCTTAGCTCAATTAAAACTAGTTTTAGATTGACTCTTAAAAAGTAAACTAACCAAGTTTAAACAAACTAGGATTGTTTTGGCAATCCAGTTAAAATTTAGTTTTTAGTTTTTAACTCATTTTAGGTCACATTACCTTTTTATATTTTTTTATCCACAAAAAGGCAAAATAATCAACTCATGTTAAAGAGTTGTTTGGAAAGTGTCAAATAAGTGTACTTTTAACTTTTTACAAAAAATGTACAGAGAAGTTAAAAGGTGATATAACTAAAAAAATAAAAAGATAAAAAAGTATACAAGGATAACACTTCCTAAACAAACTCTAGATGAGTTAATAGTTAACAATCAAACATCAAAGTAAATACTAAATCATGTGTTCAAACTTTACTATGCTAACCAAATAATTATAACACTTATATATATATATATATATAATTCAGTTCAACGTATTTTAAAATTAATGATCAGGCAAATCTTTGGTAACCATTTGGTAGACTCGAATTCAAGATTTTAAATCTAATTATCAGATTTTTACTCCTAAGCTTTGAGATTCCAAATAATTTGAATACTTACATATCAATTTATATAAGAGCGTGTAACAACATATAAAAAAGCATGTTAAGTATATAAATAATAATAAAATAATTCACGCATAAATTTACTTGTTATATAAAGGAGCGTTTGGTAACACGTGGAGATGAGTAAGTGAGTCAATCCAAATGTCAATAATCTAACAGTTCAGAGACATAGCTTCGGCGAGAATGCAGGTTTTCATGTGCATGTTCATCAGACAATTCCAGGACTCTGGTTTTTGTGTTCCTTTTCTTTTGAATCCAAAAACAAAGAACAGGTGCGTTACACGTTGGTCGTGATGCGTTTTTTGAACAGCATTGGTCACGATGATGGCTCACGTGCTTATTACACTTGACGGCAATTTAAGGATTTGTTTAGCCTAATTTTTAATAATTTTAAAATTGATAATTAAGAAATAGAAATTAAAATATTTTTTTACTTATTTTTCAATAATTAATTATTTAAATTTATTTAAATTATTTTTATCTCATAAATGATAAAGCCACACTGCACCAAAAAAGTTATACGCAACTTTAACAATATTTTTTTGGAAAATGAGTGGGAGCACTAATTAGTACTACTATAAAAGAAACAAGTCCATGTGATAGTCAAAATAATGGGTACAAACATAAGTCGAGTTAAGAATATTTAAGTTGGGTTTAGATTATAAATTTAATGAAAAAAATGAAAAATGAAAAACAAAAAATAACATACATTTTATTCTTTTTCTTTCCCAAAAATTCATAATTCAAACATAACTTTAACAATACTTAAATTATGTTTAGATTATAAATTTAAGTAAAAATTTAAAAAGAAAAAAAAAAGCAAGGAAATGTGTGTAGGACTTTGGAATCCCTCACATTTTTATTTTTTTTATTTTAAAATTTTGTTTAAATTTATAATTCAAACATAACTCTAATATATATCCAGTTTTAAAGGTAACTTGTGAGAGGAGAGAACCCGCAAGGGTAGCTCAGTTGGTTGAGGGTAAGGGACCAGGGATTTAGGAGTTTGCTTTTCTCTAGGTCTTAGGTTCAAATCCCACCCCCAGCTGGCTACTGGCGGGCCACTGCGTCTTTGCCCGGTCGATCGGCTCAGGGCCCCGAGATTAGTCGAGGTGCGTCACTCCGAAAGGGTGCTGGCCCGGATACTCGATTATCAAAAAAAAAAAAAAAAACTTGTGAGAGGAGAGAATGTTTGTTAAGGGGCCGACAAAATTGCTTCTTTAGGCATATGAACCCCACTCTATAAGGTCAATTAGTACATTATATAATTACTAAATATGAATATGAATATGAATATAAATATGAATATTTGACTTGATAAATGTACCATGTTCAAAGTTGAAACATATATATATTTTTACAAGTTAGTTAAAAATTGATTTTTTTGATTTTTTTTTTTTAAATGTGTCAAAATAGATTAAAAGTTAAAATTTGACTTTTAACTATGTTATGTAAACCTCTATTGTTGGCTCTATCAGTTAGGAATGTTCTATTTTCAAATTTATGTATTTATGTATTTTTAATACAATTCCGACCATATATTGTGCCAAGATTTTGAAAATATGAAAATATCAAGATATCATTTTGAGATTTTGTTGGATGAGGATCTTGTACCATAATTTACTTATGTGGACCTAAGTGATGCGGGTAATTATCCTACAACAATAATATGTTTATATTGATATATTTTTTTTGGATCGACAAAAGAGAAATTTTATTAATAAAAGGAATTAGCGATTACAGAGATCAAACTGGAGAGAAATACATCTTAGCTTGGAAGATGAATCTGAACTAGGTTTACATACCATCTAAAAAAAACTAAATTTACATTGACAGTTAGGAATCTTTTATCCTTAAAATCTCTATGTTTATATGTTCGTAATGCACTCTCAATCATGTGACATGTTAAGAATTTCAAAATATGAAAATATCAAGCTACAATCCTAAATCTTGGAGTTTGTTGGATCATATAGATGGAGGATCTTGCTCCATAATTTGCTTAGGTAGACCTATAAATGAGGATAATTACTTTACAAAAATAATTTGTTTATGCAGATGATGAGAAATTTTTGGTCATTAAAATTCTATGTTCATCTATTCATGATACAATTCTGATCACACAATCTATTAAAATTTTAAAAAATGGAAAAGCTCAAGTCACTAGCTTATAGCTACAAGTTTGCTATATCAAGTAGACGATTTTTTTTTTTTTTTTGATCAGCAGAAAAGAAACCTTTGTGCCATAATTGCTAAATACACTACTTATTACACAATGTGTTGAAAATATAAAAACCTTGAAAGATGATGGTCAAAGTATATTGGCACAAAGCAATTCATGCCATAATCTACATTCATGCAAAACGTGCATGTTACTTACTGTACTAATACAAATATATACAGAAAAATTACAAAAAAAAAAAAGACACCCTAGAAAATACCCAAAATTTCAAATTTGTAGTCAGGATTTACTTAAGTAGTACCACAATAACAACTGAAATATAACTAGGTATAGAAGTATATATATATTTTTGATAATCAGACGTCCGAGCCTCAACTAATTCCAGGAACCTGAAACTAACGACCATACAAGTGGTCTAAGGTTTGGGATGTTAAGCCTTCATGAGATTCAAACCTCCAACTTATTTTATGGGAACTTCTTTTTTTTTTTTTTTTTTTTTTGTTTTGATCAGCAAAAGAAACTTTATTGATGAAGAAAGCAAGATACATGCGAAAACTTACATCAACAAAGAAGGGAAGTGCAAAGAGTATCATAACTAACCTTACCAATCCCAACTAGGTTGGCATCGATAAGGAAGCGCAATCCTTTGCTAGCACTTAACCCAAGATTGGTGAGGAACCAATCAAAAGAACCAAGAAGAGAGGAAGGGAAAAAACAACACAAGAAGGGAAAAACAACACAAAACATGACTATGGGCCCTGTTTTGATCAAGGCACATTCCAATAACACTTCTTGAATGGTAACTTCAAGAATGGTAACTTCTTTGGTTGTCTCTTATTGGTGTTATGCCAAACCCCTTAAAGTTAAGTATATGGTTATTTTTCATCAACATATGTGGTACTTCCTTCATCACGAAAGACAAATTATAGTCATTTTATTCCTCAATCTTCATTTAAGATGTTGTCAATATATATATTAAAATTTTGATAATACTATATGAAGCAAATTATACATTGGTCTCTATAATATGCTTTTTATGTCAACTTAGTCTCTATATTTTCAATTGTATTAATTTTACCCTTTATTTTTCATAGTGTCAATTTAATACGATTGATGATATCAACTAAAAAATTATTCATAAATATTAAGAGCAAAATAGTCAAAAACAATTTCAATTTGAGAGTGGTTTCTCTCATGTTGGGGCTAAAACTGGACCAAACAGTCCAATCAACAGGATCGTAACACATCAGCAGATATAGCAATCAAAGGTTGAGATTTGGCCACACATGTAGAGTCTTAACTCTTACATCAAACGGGATCGTTTTGTACTAACGGAGGATCACAAACTAACGTTGAGGGCTTTTCATCGTCATCTTCTGGTGAGACTTTTCATCTTCACACTCAAAAGCAATAGGTGATTTTTTTTCGTGCTCAAAAACGATAGTGATTGTTTTTCTAGAAATTTTCTCTCCTCACCAAAAATCTTCATTCGTAAAAAATGAATGGATGAATCAATGCGTACTGAAGCTTTTGAACCTCCATGGATGAGAGATTTGTTGGGACCAAACAGGTGATTTGTATTCTCTGTCTCTCAATAGCTAGTGTTATAGGAGTACATATGTTCATAATATACATACACACACACATATATATAGGGATATATATTGTATATCTATGGCTTCTTTTTTTTCTTTACCAGATGCTCACATGGTTTATATAACTTTGTGAATGTACCTATATACAATAACTTCTATACTTCTGGGACTAATTTATAATTTTTCCAATCAATTTGATAAGTGTAACTTTTTATTTAGAAAATATCATAGGTATTTATGTTCTCAATTATGTGTTCACTAGAAATTATATAAAAAGAACGTGGTGAGGTTATATTACTCTGCATGATTTCATAATATAATTTATTTTGTTGTTGAAAATTAAAATAGGGATGCCAATCCGAACCTCAATATACCAGATTACAAACCCCGAATAGGTTTGGAGTTTGATTCATTGGATGATGCAAAAAAAATTTACAATGAGTTCGGAAGGATTACTGGTTTCAGTGTTCGAATTGAATACTCTAACAAATGCAAAAAAACAGAGAGGATCACTTCTAGGAGGTTTGTTTGTTCGAAAGAAGGGTTCCGACATGAAGACAATAGGGATATCAAAACTAAAAAGCCGCGTCAAAAGACAAGACCTGGTTGCAAGGCACTTATGACAGTTGTATTGAATAAAAAGAGCCAAAAATATGAGGTTACTGATTGTTTTGATGATCACAATCACCCACTTCATATTCAAGAATGTGTCCATTTGATGCCTTCACAACGAAAAATTACAAAAGCTCAAGCAATTGAAGCTGATTTGGCAGAGGCCTCTGGGATTAGATTACGATCATCGTTTGAGCTTGCATTTCGACAAACAGGTGGAAGGGAATGTCTTGGTTTTACTCGCCAAGATTTGAAAAACTATCTTTGGACCAAACGACAACGGGACTTGAAGTTTGGGGAAGCTGGAAGTTTATTGGCGTATTTTGTGGACAAATCAATGAAAGATTCTTCATTTCACTTTAATATGCAATTAGATGTTGAAGAACAAATTACTAACATCTTTTTAGCTGATCCGAAAATGATAATTGACTATAGTATGTTTGGGGATCTTGTTAGTTTTGACACAACATATAGAACCCATAAGGATTATCGTCCGTTAGCAGTTTTTTTGGGGTTTAACAATTATAGAAAGATTGGGGCTGCACTTCTCTATGATGAAACTGTTGCCTCGTTTGAATGGTTATTTAGGAGCTTCTTTGATGCTATGTCGGGAAAGAAACCGAAAACATTTTTCACCGATCAAGACCCTGCTATGGCAAAGGCTATTTCGTTGGTTATGCCTGACACATTCCATAGAATATGCATGTGGCATATGAAGCAAAATGCAATTAAGCACTTGGGAAGTAAATATATAGGTGATCATGGTGGGATTGGTGCCGAGCTTAGTAAATTCATTTACAATTATGAGGATGAGGAATGCCTTTGCATTGCTTGGGAAGAAATGCTTGACAGATTTGATGTTCATGATAATAGTTGGTTGCCTACTATATATGGGGTGAGGGAAAAATGGGCAAAGCCTTATGTTATGACAGTTTGGTCGGCTTGGGCTAATACTACACAGGTAAGTAAAAGCTTCAATGCCAAGCGTCGTAATTTCTTGCAATCGGACTTAGGAATAGTGCATTTCTTTAAGCATTTTGAAAGGGTTATTAATGATATTAACCACATAGAGTTGGAATGTGAATATGCTTCTCGTCAAAAGTTACCGAGAATTGGATTACCCATTCCCATGTTGATTAATATAGGAGATTTTTACACAAACCAGATTTTGGAATTATTCAAGATAGAATATTTGAATAGCTTGCGTGATTTTGCTTGGAAACAAGATGAAAGTAACCTTTCACATGACTATATGGTCAAGACACCTGATGAGCCTATGGTTCGTGAAGTGACAGCCAACCCACAAGGCCCTCAAGTGTCATGCACTTGTCGATTGTTTGAGAGATGTGGAATTTTGTGTTCCCATGCTTTCAAAGGCCTTGACATGATGAACATCAAAGAGATACCAGAATCTTACTTGTTGAAGAGATGGGCAAAAAAATCCAAAGATGGATTGGTGCAAGAAAATAATAGGTGTGTAGCTAAACAAGTTGTGGCTGATTTGGATATGAATGCTCATCATAGAATGTTGTGCCCGAGTTTGATTAAGTTGGGTTGTCGTGCAGCTGAAAGCAAAGAAACTACATGCATGCTTATGAAAAATTCTATTGAAATGGCAAAAAAGATTGATGATGTCTTAAGCAAACAAGCTAGTGTGAACGAACAAGAAAATGATGCTCATGCACCTTCATGTCCACAAAAATCAAGTGAAAAGGTTGCAGAAGAAAATCAACCTCATAACCCACATGTTTTTAAAGCGAAGGGGTTAAAAAAAAAGGAGGGTTTGGGGAAGGGTAGGCCGAAAAAAAGGCCTAAGAGTTGGGTTGAATTACAACCCAAAGTAAAGAAAAGTAGACGCAAAATGGAATCTCAATCAGCCCCTCAGCCGTCGATTACAGATTGTACAATATAAGTTGAAGGTTATTTTCTGTTTATAAATGTTTTCTTTCTTAATCATACACTTCTTATTGATTTTATACAAATTTGCATAATATAGGATAATATGCCTCTTTATGTGCCTGTGTTCGAAGATAAGAACATGGATCAAGTCATCTCCATCCACAGGGTGTTGAGATGCCCAATTCCATGTCATGGATGATCCCAAAAACACCTCAAGCTTGGAACCATCTTTCATTCACTCATTTGTTACAGGTGAAAATGAGTTCTACTGAAGTTTAATTATTTGGTTTTATACAACTTATATTATTCATGTAAATCAAACTATAACACAGCGGATGAAAAATTATGGTCGTACCTTTTACTGCAGAGTCTAAATTGAAGGATCTCGTGGGTAAGTCACGTGCTTCCTGAATCTGATCAATCAACCCAGCAGTAGAGTGATATTACAAAAAGAATATCACCCACACAAGTCATAGTGCAAAATGGCTCTTGATCGTTGTATTTTGGGAGAGAGTCAGTATATTGAAAAAACATACGACATACGTTGTTTTTTCTTAATCACCCATATCCCATATCATATCAGATATATAGGATAATATCCCATCTATCCATATCAGTTGATATGATAGATATGGATATCCTGAGTGGTTATCCAAGTAAGTTTTGAATTCAAATTCAAACTTACATGGATAAAGTTCAAAAGGTTCAAAGTGTCATGCCACATGGACACCCAGATAATAACATCACCCACTCGGACATGAGTTGGCATGACACTGCCACATCCTATCTCAATTCTCTCCAAAAATGAACAATCTCATACTAGCCACTGCACTATGCGACTGCTAAGAACACATGCATGTGGGAGCTCTATACTAGAAACTCAAAATGAGCCAGCATAGTGACACACACCAAAAAGAACAGAAATAGTGTCTCATATACCCCAGAGCCATCTAATTACACCGTTAAAAAAAAAAAAAAAAAAAAAAAAAAAAATCTCTAATCCTCAAAAAGAGCATGTTTGGCCCTCTCAATTCTTGCAAATATTCACACCTTAATCCGCCTCCTCATATGAGCAATGTGAGTTGCCGGCAGTGAATATACAACAGTGGTATAATACTGATGATCTTCCCTTTGCCCTCATGCATTTAGTTTAGGATTGACCGCTTTCCCCAGTGATGTCCCTTAAAGCCGAATCATACATGACCGCAGGCAATATACCAAAGTAGCAGAACATCAACCTCTTACCTTATGACATAGTCAAAAGTCACAAAATGGTACATAAATGAAAGTCATATCAATAATGACACGTAAGACTCACACGGTGAGGAAACAGGGATCCATTCTCTCACCTCATTATCGATCGCCAAGCACAATATAGTATGAATACAATGCTACGGTGGAGTAACTCTTCCATAAAGAGTGACGTCATACTCGATACACGTACAGATATTAGTCTAGTCGCTTTCTGGCGCCTTAACCCGAATTTTCTATTTGCTCGCCTTTTAGGCGCCAAATGAGATCTCGTATCTGGCTAATCATAACAGGCACAACATGGAAAGTGGGTACTAACATCCATGTTTGGTCCTTAACACGACCTCATCTTGGTTGTAACCAAGGCGACATGCATAGTGGATTATTTAAGCCTCTCTTAGCTCCAAATAAAAATAAACCACTAATCTCATCCTTGCTCGCTCCCAAGCAGCAAGGGCGATTGCTCATGTGAGTGAGCCAATCTTGCCTGCTAACATCATCATCTGCTAATCATTATGACACAAACCATAATAGTGTCAACATCCCATCATCTCAAAATAAGTGATCGATTTTAAAAAAATTTGACCACAGCTTGCGAAATTCTAGATTCCAAACTAAGCCTTATCAGCACCTCTTGCGATAAGTATATACAACGGAATCCACCATGTGCGCCTCACATGAAGTGATTCAAGATCACAATTCTAGATTCCAAACATAAGCCTTATCAGCACCTCTTGTGCGATAAGTATAATACGACGGAATCCACCTGTGCGCTCACATGAAGTGATTTAAAGATCACTACCTCTTGCGCAATAACCTCTCTAAAGATATTTGGTGACCAATTTGTGTTCATTCTTAATGCGCCCAACTACGCATTGAATCTTACAATGAGCAAATTAATATACTACTAGTGAAGCATTTTATCCACAGTCTAATGAGCAAGGTCAAAGTCTGAACAACTCAGTTGACCATTTATCAAAGATAACACTTATCATGCCGAATACGCCCATATAGCGTACTTTAGGCTCCCACAACAAAGAAAAGATCAAGGAATATAGGTCATCTGTTTCTCCTAAAGACAGTCTGAGGATTCACTCAATAGCTAAGGCTCTGGCTTTTACCGATAGGTAAGTCAATGGGTTTGCAATTTTGCATCTAGAATCGTTCTAGGATATTCCTTATGTAAGTCATTGAAGACAAACCGAGAATTTTCCTAAAACAGTCCCTAAGGATCGTACATCCGAGCATATAAATTACATCACCCATGTCCATCATATCTAAAATGGAGGACTGCCCACCCTAGGTGGCGACAACCTTATAAATTCCTGGCTCATAATGACTAAGTAAGGAAAAACTTCTTTTGGACCATTGATCATGCCTCAGTGGTCTTCATCGATCATCGTTGGCCTATCATGGCTTGGCGAAATCTAGGAACCACTATTTGGATAATTGTTTTAGGTTGTAAAAGATTTATTGGAACTAACAACCTTATTGCGCTCCTAACTTTTCACCATAAAAGTAGAAGGTAAATCCGTACGAATCTACTTATCCAATTCTCTAACAAGAAAGTTGGGTCACAATGTCCACAAATCAATGTTCCGAACTTACGTCAATCATAGCCTAAGTCAAAATAACCTTACTTCCCAGGAGGAAGTCTTCTCATGGTCTACACTTTCTTTAATGGTGCGACTTTTCGGTATCTAGCAAGCCTTATACCTCAACAATGACTATCCAAATTACGCATAACTTTATAACAGTTTTGCGTCATAATGGAAAGTCAACCAAATTATAAAAATGGTTAATCCTCAAAAACTTTGTCTTAAACTGTGCAATTGATCCACTTTCTAAAAATAGGAGACTAGAGCCTTTGGCATTATCCTAGGCTCTTTATCATCTTGCGGAGCAATCATGAATGTTTCCTTCTCAATCACCCAGTGATGACGTAGAAAATTTTCACATTCGTTACCACGCAACTAAGAATGTAGAGTATTCTTCTCTAATGGAGTAATCCATTAGTAGGCATATCGCTCCCACTATCCCTAGGATATTGAAAATTTCTTTCCATTCTCAACTAGGCTACATAGAGCACTATGCTTAGAATTCTCTATCTTATAGAGTTCCAAAACCTCTATTCACGTCACCTTTACTAAGAAAACTTTATGTGACTTAGTTACACTCCCACAAAGCTGCTTACCTATTTGCACATGACCCGGAGGGTTTTCATGACAGCATACAAAGGATGCGCCACGTGACCCTATGTGTTTACAAGACAGCATACAATAATGCGCCATAGAACTCTAGGTCTTAACTTCGCAACCTTATGAGAAGTAAAATAAAGATAAGCTGCTTAACGGTTACAGATCACCCATAGATCGCTCTCCGCTAACCCATTACTCAAATCGAGTGAAAAAACTGATATGAAGGGCATTTAGTTAGGGATATAGGCAACAAACTAAAGTGCGATTCCCAATTGGGAAACATTTTGCGCCATCATCCACCTAACATTAACAATACTTAATTCCTTATCTCTACTACACCATTGTGTTGTTGAGTATTAGGAATAATCAATTTTCTAAGCATCCATTTCTCTTCACAAAGTTTTCTAAAATAACTCAAATAGATACTCGACACCTTGGTCAAAAATAAAAACACGAAAGCTGTTATCTAATTGATCTCAATCTCATATGTGCAATGTCAAAAATCATCTCAAAACTTTTGACTTATGGGAGATCAAATAGTCTTGACTCAGATGCGTATCGTAATCTATAAATGTGTCGAGATTGAGGCTTAGCTATCATACCCTTACACATATCTAGTCACAAATATTATAGTGGACTAAATGCGCCAATACAAATGACCTTCTACGGCTTTCCTACTTACTTGTACGCAACCATTGCGAACAAAGTTACACATTCATATGAGAGCAGGATGTCACAAGCGAGTGGGCCCAAGAGGGCCTACTCCAAACATCCATACATCTTCTCATTAATGTGATTAAGTATAATAAGCCACCGGTTCATGACCAATGTCATAAACTAATTCCAATCATCCTAATGTGTGAGTTTTTGAAGACAAGTTTTAAAGGTTTAGGCCTAACTAGGTAATGACTCACGACTAATTCATATTCACTAGATCATAAAAGGATGTCATGGAGATATTAAGTGCGCCTAAGTCGCAAATTTAACTAGTAAGTGCTAATCCCCTGTGCCTTCAAGTCAATTTTATTCTCCATACACTTTAATGCATCTAGTTGAAAGATGGTGATACTCCTCCTGCCATATCTATTTCTCGCTTCATAGTTACTTGCAATTAATTCTACTATCCACAAGAATGAGAGAATAAGCTATCAACTATGACAACTCCTGAAGTAACTTAAGCGCGAATTAGGCTAAAGAGTCTAATTCAACACAATGCTCTTACAAGCGATGCGTCAAATTCTTAGAGTCATAACAACCTTGTCAGCCTTGACCTTTTCATTACTATGCTGCAACGTTTGCGCTTAGTGGTAAACGTTATTCAAAAACGTTAGCTTAGCTAAGGAATCATACAAAGAAGCCCCTCCTCATGTCTCACACTCAAGTGTGGAAACAGTAAGTGTCCAGACTAAGACAAGTCGGCAATGCTAATAGATTTTGCAGCCACTAAGCGCTAATCTTTTCACTTAGTGTTAATAGATTTTGCAGCTTCTAAGCGCTAATCTTTTCACTTAGTGTTAATAGATTTTGCAGCTTTTAAGCACTAATCTTTTAACTTCACGCGATATTTCAACGCACACTATTATAGTGCATGAAATTTTGCTTCATCCACTCCCAATAATTGGGTAGACAGCAAACCACTGCTCATACTGGCTACTCGTCTTATACTTAATGACTAATTTATTTAAGCTCGCATTTCTTGGATGACGTGACTCTTGAATGTTACTTCATCCAATGATGTAACATTATTTAC